GACACTCATAATTGTTTTTAAATGTGATTCTGTTTACTTTGTAAAGTATTTATGACTCTCTAAATGTCCAATTTTTCCTTCCCGTTTCCCTTCACTTACTTTTTCTTATGTCAATGTTTGTATTYTCCGGTGCTTCGCACGAATGGACCTTTTTTGTTACAACATTTCGCTTTATTGGTTTATTTGGTCGATAGTTTCTGGCAATGCTGTCGCCCAGACGATCTAGCGAATARTCTTCATCAATGAAGAATTGTGGAAATTCTTTCTATAGGCAAAAARATAGTTAGTAGGCTTGCYGTTCATTAATAGAATGCCACAAGGATGCCACTAMTTGCCAGYGAATTCAGRGCCAGGGAAGTTTTTTGTCGCTAAACCATTTGAACGTTTCTTTAAAATCAGAATTCTTTGATGATTTATTAGACATTTTATCTTGTCAAATAACTCGTTAAAAGTGTCTATTAATTACTTGTCAACTATCCGAGAAACAAGTAAGTGTAGTGAATTTGGAGTAAAATATTCTGTTCCAGTGTTTTGCCGCATCCGAAAACAAGCGAACTTGGCGTGATCGAACGTACAGTCCTTACCAATATGCAACATTTTGGCGACTCATTTTCAAAATCTCATGTTAGAAGATACTATTTGACATTTAATGGCCAAGTGACATGACCACAAAAAGAAACAATGAAAGTTTACTCACATGAAAATGAAATTCACAAAGTTTCCACGATGTGAACGACTAAACAATCTTCAACATTTCCCATAATTCTTTGTTATCACCGCTTCTTCCTGGAAACATTTCTAGTATCTTTTATTTGAGTCGAAAATAAGATCTGCATCTCAGTGTTTTCGATAATAGATGATATTTATTCGTTTTAATAATTTTGTTTTAAATATGAAATACAAATGAATGGTATCGACCGCCAGAAGGGACGGAATTGGCCCTTTATGAAAGTTACTGAATTAGCGACCATGGCCTCATAATGTTCAATGTTCATCATGCTCAACATAATATTATTCATGTACAACGTTCCAAAACCTTTAGCTCAACATTTKTAAAATAAGGCATCGTGCATGCAGAAAAAATCTATTCTTATTCACATTTGTTATTCTCGGACGTTTCGGCTCTAACCCTTCTACAAAACTTTCTCACACAATATCTTAATCAATTCCAACTCTTACCCAACTCTACCTCCTACTCCTATATGTCCTAATTTAACAGGCCTTTGACAAATAAAAAGCAAGTTTCCTTCAATTGTTTCCAGAGACGTCTACAAAACTGTCGGAAACTGACATTGTTAGTATACTGTTCAGGGAGGCACGTATATGATCCTGGRGGGTATAACAAGCAATCTTAATTCGATTAAAAACCAATACARCAAACTCAATACTAAGTTTAAAATAAGGGAATTTGACCAAGTTCTACTGGTAAAGCAGTCAAACAAAAAAAAAAGTTTCAGCAACTTACATCTGAACGGTGTAACGATAATCCCTTTGTGTTTTTTTCAAACGCGCAGATTATAAAAAGGAGGATTTTCACAGGCAAATAGAATTTCATTGCTTCTTGTCGCATCGTTCTCATCAGTACTGCTAGAATTCTTTATATGTTGGCAATGGAAGTCATATCAGTCAACAAATGTGTTTTACAATGTCATGTAATACGTTTTGCCTGCGCGTGTTATCGTGTACATCAGTAAACATTTCTCGTGACGGTAACAGCTTTGTAATTAGCCATTTGGGAGAGTTTCTTTTTCACCGGTATTTTTTCTTTGTGTTTCTGGCACGCTTGATTCGAAAACATAATGAGACAARTCRCATAASCCAACWTTTTATGATCGTCATGTCACCACTTTGAATATTGATTATTATTGTTACTATTATGATTATTTGTATTATCATCGTCATTATTAATATTATTGATTAATATTGTCATCATCATCATCATCATATTTAAGGAGTGACGCTCTTTACATTGGACTGGGGCGTAACCAAGGGGCCGGTGCCCCCATGTTTTGGAAATTCATGATTTATGTATATGTTATTAACACCCTTCATAATTTATATCATAATAGGTATAGTCAGTGTTTGTTTTCCAAAAAGAAACTGCATTATTCGTTCAATGAGCATCAGGGACTCTCTCTCCTCTCCATTCCCCATCAAGAGCGGAGCGATATCACATTGTATAAGGCATAAGATATTTTCCTTTTATTGTCCCTATATCATTATATTTTTATCAATGTATAAAGTTTCTGAGTGCGTTCTCTCTGTGTAGGAAGTTCGGGGTTTACTGTTAGTGCCTGAAAGGGCTGCAGGTTCACACTATCCAAGGAGCTAATTGTCTTGTTGTCTTATAAAGTACTCATTCAAAGTGGACAGGGGAACATTAACCCGTTGTTTTCATTTATTCAATGTTTATATCTTTGATTACAAGTTTATGTACGAGAAAAAATTTCTATTACACGTAAAATTATTACTTCAGTTACTTGGATAAGATAAAAGCACAGTAAGTGTGGTACATTGTAACAATGGCTGCTTTAAAAGTCAGTATTTGAGCCCTATTTGAGCCTAGCACGTCCATGATTACCGATGGCTACGTGATTAATATAGGGCGGCCCTATTTCATTATGACGTCATAGTGTGTTTAGATAGGCAAATGATGCACAAAAACAGTGGAAATTTTGACGCATTMATATTCACATAAAGCAAAACTTCAATGAATCATGTTTTGATATATATCATGTATAAATGATAGCTCATGTACATTTTATTTGATATGCAGTCACTCTGATTCTCTTGTGACCATGATCCTTAGCGTTAAAACAATAGAGCGTTTTGGCGTGYCGTCATAATGAACTAGGGCAATAACCCATTTCGCTGTTAAGAAACAAGTTGCGCGAGGAGCCTGTGGTTTTGCACCYAAGCGAGGAAAATTCGGGCACTAACCCAAAAAGTTGTCATTTTTGAGCTTGTTTATTGTTTTGCAATGTCAGGAAAATAGTTTTTGTTGGTGAAAAAAGGCATAYTTTTGATATTACTTGGCAGTKTAGTTCATTTGAGGGCTGCAGCAAACTGATAAACGACAATACTCTACAATTTACACTGGCTGTAATTTGATATGCACGTATTATTAATGACTGGTTTCAGGAGAAAGTGATGATAAAAGATCAGTACGAAAAGACACCACAAGTCGGCACTATCGCCGCTGAAAGAACACAAATACACTAAAAAGTTTGTCATATATTGTTATACCTRTTGACACATTACTTTTTTGAAGTTCCCTGAAATACTTCTAACTAACCACTACTACTGACACATTGACAAGTATTTGTGTCCAACACGTAGTTTGCCTTCGTGCACATGTCKCGGATGCACTTGGCACACTCGCAAGAGCAGGTTTCCCGATTAAATTCTTGGTAGAGAGGGCAATCCTGAACAGTTGAGCATATACATGCACACTCYTGCTCATGCCAGGTCTTGTTGTTATCAGAGCAGGTTGTATTGYAAGGCAAGGTACATTTGCATTCGCAGTTCTCGAAGACTTGATCTTTGTTACAGTCTTSTTGTTTCACAATACATTCTAAGCCGCACTGAGTGTGTTCCCACATTTGGACATGACCGATTTGCTGAATAACGCAATAACATAAAATTAAAGATTGGCTGAAAAATTATGTTGATCTTGACAGTTTTTAACTTAACTTACATTAGTTTTTGTGTCCCTGTAAGAGACTTTTACTCTCTCTTTTTGTTGAGCAACACAAACACTGTGTCTAGAATACGTCTCCCCGAAACATCTTTTTAAGTCCACGACAGTTGGGAAAATATTTAAGTTAATGTCAGCAGGAATCTTTATGGGAAACTTCCGTGGCGCGCAGGGTACAATATTGGCAAAGTCATTTGCAGCATCCACTGTCCTGTTGTCTGCAACAAAAATCACAACTGAACGAGGGTCCTGAAGGGGTAAATTGGGAATTGCCGTTTTTTAGGCTAGGAATTGGGATTTTTCTATCAGGATCAGTGGAATTGGATCACTTGCGATTGGGCAAAACACTTGTTCTGAAATGAGTAATTTGTAACATTTTAGGGACCTTATAAAAATAACTAAAGAAAGGTTGTCGTTGTCCGTTCTTTGGACGTGCCTTTTCATTTTTCTCATCCATTCTTTTGCTCATCCACACACCCATTCCAGACCCCAAAAGCACCAAAGATCGCTTTAATTTACTACCTTTTTGTGGAATTTGAGAAAATCTTGACTTGAAACAATGCTTAAAAACCAAACGTGAGTCTAGAACTCTCCTTCATTGACCCTTCTATTCAATATTTTTGAGATTATTCTTTTCATTTAATTCATCCATCTAATCTATTTTTATATTAAACAATCATTCATCCATTCATCATTCACAGACTCTATTAAGCGGCCCTGTTTAGCGGTCACCTTCCATTGAGCGATCACTCATGAGTTCCCCATAAGTCGATTCTCGTGTACATTTGCTGTAAAACATGACCTCTATTAAACAGTCAACCTCTATTAAAAACGGTCAACCTCTATTAAACGGTCAACCTCTATTAAACGGTCACCTGTTCTTTCCCTAAGGTGACCGATTAACAGAGGTTCGAGTGTACATATACTCCTTACTGTTCACTGTCTGGATATTTGTAGTTTCGGGGAACTTTAGCAGGTCGTTACACTCTCCTTGATACGAACGCTTGGTTATCATTGGATTGGGATCGTTCTTGTGGTCCATAATTTTTTCAATAACATCGTCTACAAAACGATCTGATGTCAAGGCGTCGTCATCCTCACCCTGAAAGAAATACGACATCGACAGACGTGGTAAGGCGGCACACTACGCAAGAAATCAAACCTCCAACATTGTTGCGACTGTACTGAGTTTGCGAACTAATCTTAAGCTTAACCTTAAAAATAAATTGAATTGCGCCCATTTATTGGCTGGTGTGTGGCACGGTTTTGCACGTCTCCCCGGTACACGGTATATATCCTAAATGGAGTTTCAGCGGAGAAGAGCAAAAAGACAACAAAAAAGATCAACTGTTGTCTAAAAAGTGTGCAAGGGCTAACAACCGCGGGAACAGCGGTGAATCAGTTGTGTCATCACAAATAAATGCGTGTGTATTAAGATCTTTTCTTGCAGACTGGAATTCCAATGATTTTTTCATGTTATTGTTTCGATAATTATGCCTTTGTGTTCTTGGGACAATGGCAAGAAAACATTAATCTGCATAGAATCAGAAAAAGACTTTAAAATTTCCCGGCAAAACTAGCATACAGTGTATTTAAGTACTGAAATAATGATTTTTCTGTTGGCCTTTCAGGATATATGAAATGTTGTACGCTTCGGCTGCTGAATATTTAGCGATATCGGCCTGCAAACTTCTGATTAAAGCCACGGAATTGCATTAAAAAATGCGAGAAAATATCGACCAAGCATGCACCGACCTATTACTTATCGATCAAGAATTAATGCTTATCGCTTGTTGTRCAAAAGCATACAAGTTATGATAGACATACGCTAATTATTTCAAAATTATAGTTGTTGATAAAATCACTGCATATGTTGAATGATTGKATCAAGTGAACGTGAACGTCAAAAAACATTTTTTGTTCACTTRCAAAATTTTACAGATTTATTAATGAGATTTTCATATGCAATCTCCAATGCAAGTCATTATTGATTTGTGATCATTTTTGTTACAGAGATTATTTTGAGATACACAGAAAATATTTAATATTCATATTTTTAAGACGCTACTGAAGTCATTGACGCGTTTCCTAGCATTCGCGAGTACAGTCAACGATTTCGCTCTCATACCTCTGAAAATGCCAAGTAGCAGCTCAAGACAGCAGACAAAATGATCACATAAAGTGCGTTCTTTGGACCATTCATCCTTCAGGAAATTTGAGTTAGTTGAAATTACCTTGCCCGTGAATGTTGTGTATGTGTTCCCAGCTGACTTGATTGTTATTTAAAGCCCTCCTCTCGTGAATTTGTTCTGATTRTCGGTCCATTGATTGGACAATAGGTGCRATGACGTCGTGCAGTTAACACATCAAAACCTACCGTTCGTAAATAGGGTATTTAAGCTATTTATAATGCTGTCCTAAACTTCGACATAAATCTGAAAAATGACCAATAATAAGTTGTATATAGACGGTCATTATGACAGTGGCAATGTCAAGGACATTTGCGCAGCCTTAACTCCACAAAACCTTTACTATACCACGACGCAAAAAGATGTATTTGCGCAATTTTTGCGTACGTAAAGCACTTGTTTGAAACTTAATCGCTTACTCTAGTAGATACTCATGTACCGAAACAAACAACATTAAAAAGATCATGTTTTATTCTTTTGAAGTTTTCTTTTGTAATCCCAGATCTGCACGCGAGAGCTATAATGTTTCAGGGCGAAAAGTTGGTACATGTGACGCAATTCGTTCTGTCTTTACACTAGTAATGTTTCAMAACGCACGTTGAGATACTCGAATGTTAATACATTATTTGTACAGACGCTGCAGCTTTGCACATTGTGATGTATTTAAAAGTGAATTGAAAAAAAATCTACTTAGAATTGTTCGCACTTGTTTATAGAAAACAGTAGGTTCAGATTGTTCCAACAACTATTAGTTTAATATCTTCTTCAAGGGTAAAACGAAAGTCGCTCTGCCATCGAAATATGAAATTGTGGCATTCAAGCTGTATCGTTTTAAAATGATTTTTGTTTTGTCTCTTTTTACTGGAGAAATGGGACTTCGGTGCATGCAGGTTTTCCCAAGTTGGTTATTGGGGCACGTTAGTAATACATAAACACGCTAAAAAGAAAAAAATATAATAGTATGTATTAGATGCTCTAGGATTTGATTCGTTGAGCCAATTAAGAATGTGATTATAGTAKGATTAAGGAGAGATTTAAGGGGATTGTTCCGCGCACGATATTAGTTTTATTTTTCCATTGACAAAAAAAAAATATTTTCAATTTTAATGTATACATAGAAAATATGGTGAAAACTAACTTGACTCCTGTGTCCGCATCACGTACCAAGGTACAGACAAGCAAAATGTTTTGAGTCATTCGCACAATTTGCGCACGACCGCGGCTCGTTTGTAGACAATTGGTAACATTACATTTRGTTCAGAAATGTCGAGGAAAATTACTGAATTTAAAAGGAGGATGTTGACAGTGCAAGAGACGATACAAATCAAAAGAAAAATGGCAAATGGAACGAAAAACGGCATCGACATAAGCCTTGCTTTTATATCTTCATAATTGCAGATTATCTACTATTATAGTTACATCAACTAGGCGGATATGATTACAATGAAGTATCACGTTAAACGTGTTTTCTCTTTTTTAGTAGCAAACTGACAGTTCCCYAGCAACGATATTTAAAGTTAAAAATGTGGTATCTAATAGCCTGTTTGGAGTCGAGATAAGATTTGTACAAAAAACATAACAAGTCTAACGAGKATTCAATTTTGATAAGCATGACATTTAAGATAAATTTCAAATAAATGATCTTCATATTCAGTTCAAAGTCAAAGTCTTGTCAGTAACGAAATTAAAGCAAAAAAACAACAAAAAATAATTAATAGAAACAATTATGCGGAAGAAGGAATCATGAGGAAAGAAAAACGAAAAATTACTGGCAAAGAAAGTAAAAACTAAAAATTATCAAAACGTAATTTCCTGAGAGAAACAAAGTCAATAATTTCTTATGAAAAAAGGAAGGAACTGTGGGGGGCCAGGAAGAGAACTGATAAGAAAGTATAAAGGGAAAGATAAAATAAAGAATTTCTATAGTTTTGGTAACAATTTGATTTTAAGCGTGAGGTAAATAGCGCCTTGCTATATGATACGTCCAGGAGACCAGGTACGAATGCGCGGGAAGTGTTTTGTTCTTAGAGAAAAGGTAGGACAATATTTGTATTGTAGCAAACGTCATTGACATCTTTGTTTAATCGTAGCATGGCTCTATTCACATCATACTATATCGTAGTATTTTCCTTTACATAAGGTCCTGACAGTTTGAATACCTGCTATTTTACTGTATGGGCGATCAACTAAGAGACTACTTGAAAATCAGCCAAAAAACCTCGAAGTTATGCACTAGCCCRCCTGACCCCCGGGGAATACCGGGGAATTTAACGTTTGGGTAGTGTTAAAATAMGACATTTCCCCCAGAAGTCGGGGCACATTCATTGTTAAAGTCCCTGCTACTGTTGCCCCGCTATTTTGGTCTAGTAGTAAATAACCGTTATTTAACACATACCTTTTAATCAAATTRTCTCAGTATACACGGGGTTAATTTTTGTACTCATTTGACAAGAGGCTAACTATAGACGGAGAAAAACGTGTAATAAGTTTCTTTTAAAAATTTTTCATGCAAGGAAAAATAAACATACAAAAACGGGGTTAAATACCAATTCCTTCAGGGTATTTCTCAAGATGGCCGASCTCCAGTTTCCAACATGTTCAAACGCGCGTTAAAATCCCCGCTCTTTGCCGCGCTTCGAAAACAATTTATCCCCGGGGCAATCTTGCTGTTAAGAGCACATTGAAAACGCGTCACGTCCCCGTTCAGTGACTAGTGCATCATAACGCTTGGTTGAGTGTTCGTACCGTAAACTGTACCCGTTTTGTAGTTGAATGGTAGGAAAAACACAACCTTTATTCCGATATCTCGGGAACACAAATCCGCAAATAGTGCGAAAGTATAGTGCGTGTTCCATCGCACCAACCCACGCCCATCGCAACCTCATTGCCAGATCCCAGCTCGCTTTCGTTAAGACACAGGAAACCCTATTGATTGTGTACCTCAAATCATCTTTTATAGTGATATTCTCGCGCATCTTTAAGTGAAATAGATTTCATTTGCTTTTAAAATTTGTAGCAGTCTAAATCGTATAAYTTCTATTACACGGRTTTTTGAATTTTTCTGTCGCGGTSCGCAGCCGTCAYTGTCACGARRATTAAAATTGTGACTTCGAACKTTTAAACATTAATCTAAAACAATCTAGCTCTTCCTATATRCGGAAAAACTATTACATAAGCTAAAATAATGGCATATGGGTTCCTTAAACGAAATTTATTATATTTGAGTAAAAACTATGATGATATATCTTAAAATTCATACGTACTTCAACAAGCGCCCGGCTAGCTCAGTCGGTAGAGCATGAGACTCTTAATCTCAGGGTCGTGGGTTCGAGCCCCACGTTGGGCGTAAATTTTTTTTTCCATTTTATTTTTTCCTTAATAACTTTTTTTCTTAACCAGAGTGCTAGCCATYTATTCACTAATATCCACCGATAGTATTCACAAACTTGGGCATAAAAATTGCTATAATATTATTAAAACACAACGACTAGGATTTATCTACAAATACTTATTTATTAGAGTTGATATAAATAACAGTCAGTCTACATCAACAAAAAAGTAGAGAAAAGTAAAGAAAGAGCTGACAATGATATCCTGGTTCGTTAAAAAATCCAAAAAACAAAACAAAAAACAACCAAAGTGGAAGCATCACTGAGATGAATTACTAATTCATGTCAAGTGGTTTTGATATAATTCACAGATATGCTATCTATACAACAAATGCTCAACAAATTTTTGCTAAAAAAATAACAGAATACAGTCTTGAAAATCTATTATTCAATCACCACTTTCAAACAAAGTTTCCATTGAATTGTGGGACTGTTTGAGAGACATTAACCTTTTTTAACATCTTCTAAATACTACCCAAGATATTTATGTCATATAAAACCATACAATGCAATCTAAACTCTTTTATGTCTAAAGATGTTTCCTAAACAGTCCCAGAATTCCATGGTGTCAATCATTACAGAATGATAAGTGTCTAGTCCAGACTATTCAAAGATCCTTAGATTCAGCTTTGAATAAACTAGCCATAATTTATCTTAGAATGTCCCCCTCATATACACCTTATACGCTAAGATATACGAGTCCTTAATTGATTCTATAATTCTTATTTTACAAATGATACATTAGAATTCTAAATTCGTTAATCGCAACGAGATTTCTGTTTTGAAAACAGACTCTGAAACTAATGCACAAAAAACACTAGAATGAAGACTTTKATTAAACCCATGAAAAACTACCACTACTTTACCCTTTTCACAGGTTTTTCGACTTCACTACAACTCACTTCAAAATAAGTTGCCTGYTTTCATACCATGTAAGATAAGTCCCTTATTTAATGGCATGATAGCTTAATGCAACCTAGTATATAGAACGAAACAGTGTATTGAGAAATACACTAACTGTCTGAATTTGGCGTTGATAAGGTCAATATTGCGTGATGTACAGAAAAGCTAGAATTTCCAAATGCCAAACACTGTTGTCTGGATGTTTCTAAATTCACATACATTTCTTTGTAAAATCTAGAAGTTTTGAAAAGCTACCAATCGTTCACATTTGATCTGATTAACACCAAACGTTGCGAGTTTATTTACAGTGTGATCGTTTTCTATATAAGTTTTAACTCAACATCCAGCAAATTAAGGGACTTGTACCCAATCTACCATGACATGGAAATCGGGCCACATGCAATGAAAATAGTTTGCACTTCTGAAGGTGCTCTGGCTACTTGATAACAATAGAAATATTAAGTTAAAACGTACTTGACTATTCTGTTGTTCTATTAGATGAATACTCAACCCACTTTACAAGTACTTAKTACTAGATTTGTCCTGTCATTCTTACAAAATTTATTGTAACATAGAAACCTGGCCTATGTACATCTGTTCCCACCCCACCCCCCTGAGTGGAAAATTCGAGGATTTTTTTTATACATGGGGAGGGGTCGGGAACGGATGTAGACAGGCTAAAATAAACCCTGTTAATGCAGACTTTACAGTTCATGACTCTGAAGTCCAAATTACTAGAGTTTCTACATAATTTCCCTGCTTCATAAGAGGTGGATGTTATATGCAGCTTTTCAGCTTTTACAATGTCTTAATGTWGAATAWGGMGAGGGGWAGTYGRTGCAATGATAGATATGTTTTTAMCCATTAGCCACCCCTCCCTATTCATCTTCTATAAATGAGTTGTTACAACCAAGTATCCGCATCTATATTCGCTTATAAAATGTTTGAGAGCAATTTTCTGTGCTCCATTTATACAATATTCACTACTCAAGACTCTCCATTCGACTGAATATCCGTGACCGCGTTGAGCTTGACGTTGCACTTGCAATTACTTCCATCCATCTGTAGGAATGAAAAAAGTTATTAATTTGTGATGCAGACTACTGACGAACCTTGATAACTGACAGATTCTGAATACTTATGGTGACAGATAAGAATAAAAATATAAAGATATATGAAAAAAATCATTACCTGTAGTAAGAATATTCGTTTTCAGCTCTGAAAAAATACACATGACTTTTATATTGTAGTTTAAAGACCATTGGTTTATCGATATTATCAGCCTGAAAAAGAAAAAAATGGGTCGTAATGATTAAAAGTAATAGAAAACAAAAATCTAACAACCAAAACCAAAACAGGATAAAAGAATTAACAATATTATTTCAATTAAATATGGACAAAACAAAAGTAACGTAAACAAAAGTAAATTGCAACTTGAATATTGTCTAAAAAATCATAATCTACTTATCAAACTTGTTTAGCTAGTGCAATTATCACTARTCTATTTGGCTATTTGTTGTCCTAAAGCCAAATGCTGCACACACAAATTTCACACCAAACAAATCATCTATTTTAAGATATTATCAGAGCCTATTAAACAAACAAGCATACCGGAATAGGTTGATCAACAGTATAACCAATCAAGGGTAAACTTGCAAGAGGAAACTCATCCTAAAAATAATAAAAACAATCATCATGGTGCTGGTGAGTGTGGTTTTTACTGAGTAAAATAAAAAAAAATCAAATGAAGGGTACACAATAAGATATAAAGATGCAATATAAATAAATAAATACTTTATATATTTGACAAGGACTCTAAAGTCATGTTCAAAAGTGTGGTTGTTCTTACTTGATGAGTCTTGTAAAAGAATAAACAAAAATTTGTGAAAACAACCCAGAGCTTTTGCCATCGGTTACCAGTTTTAAATTTACGAAGAAGATCACCACTCATCTGATTCTGTAAATGTAAAAAATATCGAAGCACTTGATCAGATAAATAGTATATTATGTAGGATTTCAGTTGAAATTGTACTCAATACAAAATTAATGTTAAATTTCTGGAGATAAATCCTTCYCACAATATGCTAAGACTCTCTCTTGTGGGAGCCAACTCTTACTCTAATGATAATGTTAAATTATCATCATAATCTTTACTACAAGACAATTCTACAGCATTTACGACCATCACAATCCAATAATAAATACATACCCGAACAGAGAGTGCATGTTCTGTCATACTTATACTTGTATGTCTGTGCCAGCAGACRCGTCGTGTAGACATGGTYTTAGAGTGTGCATGCCGTCTTTCTAGACTGCTGACCGGACTACTTGAGCCTGCATCATCYTKATCTGATCCTTCACCACCACTTGATCCACTTCTACTAATAGACACAGGGGTGGGGAGGGGTAGAATTTTGCATCTTCCACCCTGCTGTCCCTCTCCATTTTGAATATTTTTGTTGTGTTCAAGGTATGTTCCWGACTGGCCACTCAGAGCYTCCATAATTGGCTCATCCTCGTCAATGAGAATGTAGCATTCCTCGCAGAAGTATTGAGTTCTTCGGCTCGGTGATTTGAACATGTGGTGTNCTCCAATATACAACAATTTATTGTTTGAAACATCAATTTTCATCTTTTAGTGATATCTTTGTTTTCACATCTGTATCATTAAAAACACAGGTTCAGTTTACACCAGTTAACTGTATTTTATGTTGTTGTTTTTTTCATAAAACATTTTTTTTCCTCATTATTTTTGATACGTACCATAATGCCATGCGTTCCTCCAATTCAGCCAGGAAGGCACAATGGAAGTCATAAATTGGGTCAATAGTTGAGAAAAGCAGCTTCTTGGATGATTCAGGAAGAACTCCAGCTGGACTGACAACATCTCTAAATGACTGCAAATCATGACAAAAGGAAAGTCAATTAAACAACACAAGACATAAATGAAGCTTGCTTGTCTTGCTATCATGATTTATTTATGTTTTTATTATGTTTATTATCTATCTTTTTTCCACCAACATAAATAGTTTTGATTGATGACTTACTATGGTYATGACTTCCAAATCTTTGACATACCTGAAAAGATCACATTTACAATAAATTGGCATCACACAATTCAATGTATTCAATGTAAATTCAACAAACGAGGATGAAGAAATGGAAGAAATGGAAATGGGAAATGCAAGTAAAAAGGAAAAATGGAAAGGAGATATCTAAACTGAGTGGGGAAGGATGCAAGCAAATGAGACAGATGGTGAAATGGATGGAACAAGTTAGTGTAATGTGTAACTAATATGGAATTGAAATAATTTCAAGTGACTGACAATAAAAAAAAAACATTACTCACGTTCTTTCAGTGCTTAGCAATTCCTTTGCTACATTGTATCCAGCATCACTTGTAGACTAAAAGAATACAATAATCTTACTTCAATATCAAAATGTATATAATTACATGGGCTTCCTGTGGAAGACCATGTCTAAAATTACCGACGACTTTCCTTCAACATGCTTCAAAGTGGTATATCCGGGACCTTTTCTATTGTGTTATTGTCATTAATGTTTCTAAGCAACCGCTTGCCTCGTGCTTCATTTCGGACCTAGTTTAAGGATCGTTTATATTAGAGATAGAAATCACGGATCTAGCTACTACAAATACGCTCAAATCTCTTACAAATCCACGTGTCATTAGCGGTATAGAAACACTAAATGATGTCGAGCGTTTTTCGAAAGGACATTTGTAGGGATACCGTGAATTTACAATTGAATTTATTGTGAATCTTCCTATCGTGAATAAACGAATTTAATATACGGCTCTGCAATCACAAAAGACTATCTTAGGAATGCAAACAGTGTTCTACTGAGGAAAATGAAATGATTGGAAGTATTTTAAGCGTAGAACATGAAAGACTATCGACTTGTGTTTACGAGGAACGGGCTCGTCAAACATACTTACTTCTTTCACAATATTATGCTTAATGCTATAAAGTACATTGCTTGTTTTATTATTTTTATTAAAAGAAATATTTTTGCTTTAGTCTTAGTAATATTAACTTTATTAGGGCTCAATATAATACAATTCTTCGATTACCACAATAAAACTATTGTCACTGACTGCTTCGTTTGCTGATTGTGATACCACAGGAAGCCCATGTAAACGATCGCTGATCGTCTAGTTAGGTTTAAACATAGAAAAGGCATTCGATTGTTTTGCAGTTATTGAGCATAAATTATGAGACACATATTACATTCATTTACATATATGAATTCATTATGATATTTTACACTTTTAAATGTTTTATTAATATATTGATAACATATAATAAACATAGCTATTCCCGTTATCTTTAACATAACAACATCATTAACTCATATTCTCATGATTTACAATAACATACTCATTCAAAACAACAATAACATAAATAAAAGGTGATGTCACATCCTGTTTATAACCACAAGTGAAGTTTCCGTGGTTTCAGAGGGAAGTAAAACAATTCAAACTCTTTGAGTGGGTGAATGGTCTGTGGTAAAACCATACTATGTCCATTTTATACATTATTTAGAATTTTATTCCTTTACTTCATATATTTCCATTCTAGAAAAATATTGCTTTATGTTGGATGTTTTTGTTGCTTGGACAAAGAAAAAATTATCACATTTCAACTATTGACTGGGAATATTGCCTTTAGGGGGTTACTTGGAATGCACTTTTCATTATTTTGGTGATGTTCAAAAATAGCAAAGTTCACTTTTGTGGTCTAAACATRTTGSCAACTATTGTTTGGCAACCACTTTAAAGTATGGTGTTATCAAATTGTTGTTATTTTAACTGTTCAAATCTTGGTGACTGTTATGGTTGGTCATATCTTTTCATTGATWTGYGATCTATTAAGATTTACATACTAAYGGGAAAGGTTACAACAATAATTATGCACCTTGGATAAAGTTTGTTCCGACTGCAATGTAACCAGATATGACGGTGAAGCTGGTGGGCTTGCCTCGGTATCGCTGCGGAATTTAGGTGATGCTTGGTCTTCAAAAACATTGTCCCGCCCATCTCGATCATCATCACTAGCACTACCTGTAAATTCAGTCACAAATAAAGTCAAATTATACTTAAATACAATGGTCGCTGTCTGATTAAAAGTTGTCAAGGTTATATACATGTTTGGATTCTCTTTATCAACCTGATTACATGTTTTCAGACTTATAAGATTTAATTATCAAACTCTGTGTGTACCTTGTTATACTGAATTTACAAGTAAAACAAAATATAACAACAGAAAATTACTGGAGATTCAAACAGGAGAGATGGTTTACAGTGATTTATAGTTCATGAATTATGTTAAATACAACAGATATCCTTTTCACTAAATTTTACAATTCAACATGTGTCTACAAGTTTTGGTTTAGTTAGAGACAGACCAAYCACTTGACAATAAAAACCAAGAAATTTACACCTGCTTCAATTCATCAAACACAAAGAATATCTCAATAATTATGTACATAGTAATCAAAACGTCACTTCAAAGAAACCAAAAACAGAGAAAATAACTTAATAATTAAACATCTTAGGCCTTTATTGATATTTTAGCAGGAAAAATAGGTTTTCTTTGTTTAGAAGGGTTAGAGTGTATTATTACAAAGCAGGAAGATAAGGATTACAATCTATCAAACTAGTGCTTCCTAAGTAAACTTGAGATATCTAGAAAACAAAGAATTATTTGAACATATCAAAAATACTGTTTCCCTTGTGGTGAATCTGAGCAGTCAAAATATTCAATTTGGTTAATGAAAGCATTCCTAAAATGGTTGGCATAGCTTTAAAACAAAGCACATCAGTTTAATGTTAGAGTGCACGTGTAGAGTTGGTTCTTAATAATGTCTCTCAGKATTAGACTCTTTGTTAAACTATAAAAGTTTACATAGCTTACACCTTTGTCTTTTGTTSAAGKACTACAGGTGGGACTAGTTTTAGACTCATGTCTCAAAACCCAATAATCAATTGACTGCCAACCAGACAACATAAAGCAAATTATCACTTGAATACAAATATTGACACTGACAGTGTTTATTAATTAATTTGAAAGATAAACCTGTTTTTGGTGGACTACAAAAATAAAAGTCCCCCAACGACCAAAAGTATATGCAAATCTAGCCACACTGTAAATTATTTATGAACAGGATTTAGTGTCACAAAAGACTGACTATAAAAGAGACTGGCAGAAATGAAAATATTTTGGGATGTCATCAGTTYCTMTAYCCAATCAGAATTGGTATTTGCTGTGGGAGACRTTTTRGACAGCAAAGTGTTATTGATGTTTGACATATTCATGGCCCTTTTTATGAGTGGRATCATCATAATATCACTTTCYAGATGAAATGTTTGCCTTGGTAAGTGAATAMTCACAAATGTTGTTTGAAAACCTTTTGTAGTTCCATTCATGGTATGACAGATTTTTTCTTTATTTCAAACTTCAGTTTGGAATGAATATCAAATTTCACAAAAAAGAAAAAAAATATTTTTTACCTTTTTCTCAAAATTCTAGAAAGACCTTTTTCATTTGAAACTTGGGATATCAATAAATGAGCAAACGATTATTCTCAAAGACCTAAAATTTTGTTTTCAAATGCAATTAAATTAACCTTTAGAAAACATGTTGTTTTCACAATGAACCTTAGACAGTAGAGTAGGTACATAGATCTTTATCAATAGATGTTACAAGTTATAGCTTGGCCACAGACAACCAAAATAAGAAAGACTATAAGGTGATTTAAGTATGTTTTTTTATTAAAATGAAAGTTTGAGGAACTTGCTTGTTTGATGTAGAATCAAACCTGACACGATTTTCCATTTTCATTCATTTTGACACTATTCTATTGATATATCATATAAACTCTCTGCACTAATGTCGCACAGTGTCATTTATTGTTAATTATTAAAGCTGCTTCGTCATTCAATTTAAACTGAATACCATAATATCATCAACCAATCACATTGTGTAAGAAAAAAGGTTAACTTGATAAATTTGCACTTAAAAAGTCAGAATAAATTTTATTAGTTTTTTATGCTTAAAGTTTTGTTTTGTTTTCAGGATGTTCAAACTCAGTTGAGCTTCAAATTTAAATTTCTAATTTTCAATAAGTTGTACTCAGAGTCCCAGAACAAAAAACTTTCCAATTTTAACCTCATATCAGTTTTATAGTTTCAATATGAAAGGCTGATACTTCTTGGCAAACAGTTTCTATTGTAGATCTCTTCAAATACATATTCAATTTTGCAAGCAGTCAACAGTCCGCATGAAAATGCATGATATTAAGTCTAAATTAGCSAGCCATGTTAAAGATTTATTTATTATAATAGTATAATATAAAAAAATTCTTTTTCTTGACAAAAAGTCAAACTCTTCACTATAAAAGCTTTGGATAAAATGGGTTATATTTATACACAATTAATATTTCCTTGTGTGTTATATTTTTTTCATTAGCATAAAGTGCGTATTATCAATTTAGGTATAAAAACCATCTTTCTGCTATATGTTGTATTGACCTTTTCTAATATTCCAATAAAAGTCATTTGTTTATTTAATACTGGTTTGATCTGAGGGTTAGAATATAGTAGCAGATTTTCCATTAGTATTACCAACAACACAAAATTAGCACATTAGATTGACACATATAGGTTAAACGTAGCTCAAATCAACAATTCCAACTCACTTTATCCACATTACACTGCATACTCTTACAAACACAGACATCAAGTAACATACTGTAAAACCCTTCATATTCATAAACTCTCTCTTTTATTAGCCTCACATATGATAGAGATGAAGATTTGTTAGTAGCCGTAAAATACTCTTTTCGATATCAAAGTACAGGGCTTTCTTCTGATTCAGTTTCTGTACCTTTGCCATGCCTTGATAATTCTCCATTTTGTACTTTGATGGCACTGCTGTCCACTATGTGCACAGGCTCAGGGGTGGTTTTGTCACCATGGAAACCATTGGTATGAACTAATGGTGGTGGCTGAGGACTATCATCCATCCTAAATTAATTGAAAGTTAGCCTGGTAATACAATACTTTCAAATACTGCAGCATGACCAAAATCCAGGGCCYGGTTGTTCAAAGRCTGATTAGTGTTATTCCAGGGTTAACTTRATAGGTTTTCTAAGAGTTAACCKAGGATTAGRGCTAATRGGGCTTTGAACYASCCGGCCCTGGATTRCAATGGTGTTGAATGTATAAAGTAGAAGGAAGGAATGTTTATGAGGTCAGGAACTACTGTAGTTGTCAAGAGACAATTTATAAGAAAACAGATACACAAGAAACAATCTTTAGCAGTATAACATGATTTTTACCAGAACTTGTATCTGATTCAAGCTTCTTGTTTTTTTTGTACCAAAAAATGTCACTGTGTTTACCTTTCTGGTTCAGGACTATCTCGCAAAAGCTCTGGAGGAGGAGATGGCAGCGTTTCCATGGGTGGGGCTGGGAATTCTTCCTGAGTCGCTTGTATGTCATTTMCTAAAACCACCTCAGGGGGTGGGGGCGGAGGTGAGGGGGATTCTAAACCATCAACTTCAATGGGTGTTGGAGGTCTGGGTTGTGGAGTGAACTCAACAGCATCATTACTTTGCTCAACATTTGGCTCCATGTACCTTATGTTCAAGTCATTCARCATRGGTGGTTTTTCACTYATGACCTCTTCCTGCCATTCCAGATCCTGACCAGCTACTGATGATGTTGATGATGACTCATCCTTCATCATATCTGGTTCATGATCCAGGTCTTTAAGTGGTATATCTTCATCAGGATTCTCTYCCGACTGTACTTTGATGACAGGTCCATTAACATCTCTCGGCAATTCCTCCAAAGATTCATCATGATCGCCATTTTGCATAGGCAGTRCTTGTGGTGGTTCTTCACTGTCAGGAGTATCTGGACGTCTGATTGGCTGTACGGGGGGTGCAGCTTCTAGTACCCTAGTGTCTGCAGAACCATATGCACCATAGGGTCTAGAAGACTGACTAGTTCGTGGGGCATTGTTCTTGCTTGGCGTCTTTAGGCTTTGTGTCCTGTTAATGAGACAATAAGACATCATCTGTATCAGATCATTATGTCTACTAAAGTAAACCAGATTAAATTTCTGACCTATTAAATGCTGGCTGTTGTCTACCATTTTCTTGAGTAGCTTCAATAATTTGTTTTTGCGTCCGGCCACTGAATCTATACGATGAACCACGGCTGAATACTCTTGGTCTGTGCTTGGGTGGACTTTGGCTTTGTGATTGTCTAACATTAAAAGAGAAATGGTTATTGACCAAACTTAGTAAGTATCAGTAGAGTTCTGCATTATAGTTAACAATTAGACCCCAAGGTCGAGTGGACTACCAGCTAATAGCCCATGAGGCCGAGTCCGCGAGGCCGAATGGGCTATTAGCTCGTAGTCCACGAGGCCGAGAGGTCTAATTGTTTTAGTATAAACATATTAATCGGTCAAATAATGAAAACAAATTGAAATATCCTTAAAATCATTTATTAATGAGATGCCGTCATTTTGATTTTACTGCGAGTGGTCTATCATAAATTAGACCATTAGTAGAGTAGCCAATCACAGCGCAGTATGAGTGATAGAACATTAGTATGTTTATACTAAAGCTAAATAGATGTTCAACCATTCAGCTGCACTTGTCTGTTTTGGATCAAGTAAGGTTGTTCAAAATAATATCAAACATAATTATTTTTCTAAAATGACTAACATCTGTACTTACCTGAAGAATGCATGCGTCGAGATTGCAACTTTCCAAAAACTTTTGCATGCATTTCTACTACTCATTTGGAATTCAACGACATCTTTATAGTGACCCTAGGGTAAAACAAGACTCATCACATCTCATGACACAAAATCTCACCCTTAAACTACTAGTATCAAAACTTACAAATATTTCTGGATGTAGTTTGATTAAAAATCTTTTTCTCTTGAAGCTTAATTTTCTGATCTTTGCCCTGAATAAAATGAACAAAATTCAGACATGGAAATAAAAAAGTATCATTGATATTGAGTGTTTCATTTTCTTACCAGGATAAGGTGTTAATTTTAGATCCAGATTGAAAGACTAGTATTCCCATATTTGCAGCAGCCAAATCCAGCTCAACATTGTCTTTATCCTAAAGACACAAAACATAAATTGAAACAAAGATGAAAGTTGGTGTTACTAGTAAATGAAAATGAWATAGAAATGAAATTTTGTTGGCAAATTACTTACCCTAGCAGGGTAAAGAATTATACCATACATTTCCAGTCTCCTTGCGACATCAAGTAAGTTATAGTCACAGTCTGATGGGCTTAGACCTCTGTTTTGTTGCAAAGAAATAATTGTTTAATTAATTAATTATTCAAAAATCCCTTGTTCATCCCATCCATCCATTTATTTTTCTCATTTATTCCTAATGCCATACCTATGTTGTTTATGGAATTCTGCTATTCTGCTCTCTGTATCTTGGCTCTGAAAGACAATCAGTATGATTGAATAATAATTATGTTGATGGCGGTGTCATATCCAATACCGATGCCAATTGTACCTGATCTGGGAAAAACTGAAAATCAGATAAATATCCCTGTCTGCACGTCAATGAGTCAAAATCACCAATTTCTCCTGAAAGACCAGAATTGATAAACATTTAAAAATAATAATATATACTGCAATATACATTAAAACAGAGAACTGTATTCAAGCTGTATTATATCATATTATTTAAAACAATAAATATATACATAAAAGGTTTGATTGGTTAAACTTTCTCCATTTTATAATATGGTTTAATGCAATTTTAGGTAAAGGGATGACTAAATCAGACACAAACCTTGTACAATGTAGGATGCCAAYAGTGCTGCAGTACTCTCTGAACACTTTAATCTACATTCACATATAAAAGAAAAAGGAAAGAAAGGATAATTGATTGTTATYGACAGATAGTTGGATGYATAGATTTGTGGATGGGAGAACAAATGKAGGATTATGAARGAATYGACYGCATYCAATGGATGGGTGAATGTYATGGATATAAAAATAAATGGACATTGATGGATGGWTGGATAAATGAATGAATGAATGAATAAAAACAAAAAGAAATGAATTAACGATTCAGGRAATACACAATACATATCATTAGCCAACTASATGATATTTAAATGATGACTTCTGATGAATAGATCAAAAACAAAACAACAAAAGATTCAACAGACATACAAATTAYACAAAACAACAACAAACCTTCCACTTAATAGATCCCTTTTTACTTGTAGTGCAAACATATATCTAAGAAAAAGAACAACAAAATTGTTAGAAAAGTAATCATTGTAAATGGTAATCATCACTATTATYATATCTTATCATTATCACAATCATCTTAATCTCCAATATCATTATCCCTCATTGTAAAGACATACCATGAACAATAAAGATTTGCTGATAAAAGGAAATATAGTACAGAAATATGAGATTAAACTACAAAGAGAGGATGTCCCCAGTGTTAGACCATACAATGCAGAAATAATGTTTATTAAAAGATAAATATCAATTTTTATCATTTAAAATGTTTTTAGTATTTTCTTTGATTATCTGTGCTACTGTYTATTGGATATAAAGTTCTTTAGACCGCATTAAACACTCTAGAAAAATATAAAAGAATGCATAATACCTTGTATATTCTTCTTGTAACATGGATGGGTCAGGAGCATAGAACTTGACACTAAATCTCAGAAGTATTTTATTAACGTCGCGTACTTGTTTGTTTATTGGTTTGTGCTGGTCCAGCCAGTACTAAAAGAACCAATAACACCATAGWTAGTGATTAATTAATATTAAGATATCATTTCAAAGGTAACTTATAATTATTCATTACTCACATAGATGTTCAATTGACATAACTAGCACATGTATTTTCAAATGGACCTTATCAGTTCATGGGCAAAATTATTCAAGAGGCTAATGTTTAACACATTTTTTATTACATAGATGTTCTAATCAAATGATCTTTTTTTGAAATATTTAAAAGAAAAAACTCTAGAGAAAAAAAAAAACACAAAGCAGATGTTCACAAGCACATTATTATAGTTTTTCCAACATGTTAACAAAAAACTCTATCAAAATGTTTTATTTGAAATCAAGAAGATCAAGTCAGTATGGCCTACCAGTTTGAAATAACTTTCTTTTCTAATTTATAGTGCTTACATAGCATTACAAAGTCTTCTTCATAAAAAACACTTGCATTGTTGCGTATGAATTCATACTTCATTAATTTATGGAGTTAGAGCAAAACCTAAGAATTTTTATTGTGGATTTGACATGAACAAGGTACATACATGTTGATGTCCAGACATAAATATTAAAATGTACGCCAGTGATATAAGTACAATTGATTGACAGCTCTCCTGGCYTACTTACCATATTGTCATTGTTGTCATAGTAAAGAAGTCCAAAGTATTCACACTCTTCTAAGTTAAGGTACTCATACACTTGTTTGTATAACACGTCACCTTTTTCTTTMGCCTGAGAAATATGACGGCAAAAATAAATTAACTGTCAATGCAAAAGAAATTGAGAATGAAGTGGAGGTTAGGTACATGGTGATGGATTTTAGGAAAKCAAATTTGCAGATCAAAAGAAAATTACGCCTTTCAAATAGCATCCCTTGAATAKTATTTCAGACATTRTAAATAATTCATTGAAGTAACAGACTGAATTAACATTTGAAAAAAAAAAAGATGTTCTTGATAGATTAGTATACATAATAACGATCCTTCAAAAAGAAAAGAACCAGTTGTGGAATTGAAAAAGAAATCATGGCCATTYAAYCACAATTCTAACTATTTCCATTTCTCCTTTTCTTCATTGAAGTGTGTAGTTGTATCTCGCGAAAATTCTGTATTATTAAATTATGAGTTTAACATGCTACATAAGGATTACCACCAAAGAATTACCGTTATTCAACTGATTTTCAATTCAACATATATATTCTAGAAGACTACAAGGCACTACTTTGACAAAACAAAACAATTTTTCATTGCATGAAGATGAGAGATTACAATCTTTAGGCTCATGTTCTTAGTGTAACTCATTTGTAGATAATAGCACAATAAATTAACCAAGATATCTCACTGTGAGTCACATGTTGTTAATTTGTTATAGTGAACAAAAGCAAAAATCAACAAGATAAAAGGAATGGAAAGAGAATGGAACACAGAATGGAATTGAATACAATTGGATTGAAACATATGATAGAACTTCATGAAAGAGAGCAGAATAGAATGGAATYATGAATCATAATAAAGCTAAAGAAAGATATTTGAACACAGTGGGATAAATAAAACAGAAAAGAATGGAAAGGAATGAAATGGAATGGAATYGAATAGAYWAYAYKKA